TTTCAAAAATTTGAATGGGGGGCTGGGGTTGTGGCTCAGTGGTAGAGCACTCGCCTAGCATGTACAAGGCCCTGGGTTCCACCTCAGCACCACATAAAAATAAAAAAATAAAGGTATTGTGTCCAACTACAACTAAAAAATAAACATTAAAAAAAAGTTTGAATGAAATGAATGAGATTTTCTCAAGGATGGGTGAGGCTTCAGAATGATGATAAGGGAAGAGAAGGAACTACTGGGAAAGGAGAGATTAAGAGGGAAAAAAATTAAACTAAAAGGAAGGGACAAAGTCTGAAGAGGAGCTTGAACTGAGAGGTATCTCTTCCTCTAAGAGCACAAGGAAGAAATCTGCCAGGAAATCTGTGAAGGTGGCAGGAATCTGACTCCAAAAGGAAAGGGTGTAGAGAAATTTTGAACAGAGCAAGCATCAGAATACCCACTGTGAGGAATAAACAAATCAAGTTAAATGATTGCTAAAGAGCTTGGGATATAGCTCAGTGGTAGAGTGTGCATGTGTAAGGCACTGGGTTCAATTCCTGGCATGGTGTGGTGGTTGGTGGATATTGCTAAAGAGATCTAAGGGCTGGGGTGGACTTGAAAAGCAAACATTCAAACAGTGCCAATCAACACTAATTTTTGACCCTTGACCCCACAACCAGCAATGCTTGGCTTTAGACACCGGAGATTAGGGACTTTCAGGATTGGGATGAAAAAGGACAAGACTTGAAAAGTACTGATCAAAGGTACTGAAGTGATCTGATCAGAAGTCCAGGCTGAGTGAATAAAGGTGTATAGTCACTAGTATATAGGGGGGATGGTGGTGATGCTTCTCACAAAACAGAACCAGGAAAATAGGGAGAAAGTCTGTAAGCCAAAACAAAGGTGTAGTTGAGATTGGATGAGAGGTGAAGGTTGGGCCAGAATTATACCAGTAAAATGAAGAATATGGGATTCAAGAATTCAAGAGAAGTTTAGGTCTGGGTGATGGCAAGCTCCAAGGTCTGGCTCTGACTTGGACAGATAAAGAGAAGCCAGACTAGAGGGTACAATGTCCACAGTGACAGGCAGTGGAATCATCTAGAAGAGTAGAGGGCACTGCTATAGAAAGACAAAGTCCTCAAAGGAAATAATGGTTGGTAGGTGAAGAATGATTAAAAAAAAAAAGGACTTTTTGCATAAGAATGGTATCAATTTGTTGTTGTAAAACTTGACCCACACAGAAATAACATAATAACATAGAGAAACTCTACTTCCAAAGAGACGTTTATAATTCTCTTGTGATTTATAACAACCTTAAAACAAACTAAAAGTTATTAGAAATGGAATTATTTTTGTTGTTGTTTAAATAGAAGTAAGAATATCCAACTAAGAATAAAAGTTACTTAGCTCCAGATACCTGAGCCCTGAGAACAGGTTATATAACACCATGAACACACTATTAAGACATGTGAAGAGCAAAGGTCAAGAACAAGGAAACATATACACGTCAGCAGGTTTATTTATTCCATGAACACCAAACAGGAAAAGGCCCTAGGCAGATTAAAAAGTGATCTACTTAAGTAACATGAAAATCAGTGCAAAGGCTATAATGGAACAGAACTTCTCAGATTACAAAAAAACTTTGTTCCATTAAATGTTTATGGACAACTCCCTTTACATGGAATTTCTAAAGCAGGCCAAACCTTAGACTAAGTAGATTAGTGGTTGTCAGTCTGGGAAATGGGAAAGTGGGGAGCCATTGCTAATGGGTTTCTTGAGGTAATTAAAATGTTTTGGATTAGTGGTGATATTTGTACAACACTAGACTATACTAACAACACTGAACTGAACACTTTAAAAGGGTAAACTTTATGGTATGACACTGTAGATCAATAAAGCCGTTAAGTAAAAAAAAAGCAAAAATTTTAAAATTTACATGAACATTTTATATTTATTACTCATTTATATGAATAATTAAGCAAAATCATTTTGATAATTTTATTTTTCCTTTGTGGTGCTGTGGATCCAACTCAGAGCCTCATGCATGCTAGGCAAGTGGTCTACCATTCAGCTATATTCCCAGTCTGGTATGAACTTTAATATGATTACAGAATCAATTCATTAATAATTTTGGGATGAAAATCACAGTAGAGTCAAAGTGAAATAAAGACAATATCTGTCCTAGAATAAAAACTATTTGTATTTGGCCAAGTGTGGTGCCTACAATCCCAGCAATTTGGGATGCCGAAGTAGCAGGATCACCAGCCTCAGCAACTTAGCACGGCCCTAAGCAACTTAACGAGACCATGTCTCAAAATAAAAAATAAAAAGGGCTGAGATATGGCTCAGTGGTAAAGTGCCTCTGGGTTCAATCCGAAGTACCAAAAACAAAACTATTTAGATTTAGAATGTCTCTTTCAAGGTCTTGGGGTGGTAGAACATGTGCCCACTATGTGTGAGACCCTGGATTTTGTCTCCAGCACCACCAAAAAAGAAAAAGGAAAAAAGAAAAAAAAAAAAAAACAAAGGAGACAAAAAGAGATAAAATGCACCATTTTAATACTATTGTTTCATTCTAGGAAAGCCAATCAGTCTTCCTGAGCCCTTTGCCTTTAGTATATATATAATAGGAATATCACTTGCCTCACAATATTGTTAAGATTGATGAGATGTGATAATACAAATGATTATTATAGAGGCACAGATGGATTTAGCTCATTCAGACTTAATTAATTGCCGGGCACAGTGGTGCATGCCTGTAATCCTAGCAACTTGGGAGGCTAAGGCAGGAAGATCTTGAGTTCAAAGCCAGCCTCAGGGGCTAGGGATGTGGCTCAAGTGGTAACGCATGCGTGGGGCGCTGGGTTCGATCCTCAGGACCACATAAAAATAAAATAAAGATGTTGTGTCCACCGAAAACTAAAAAATAAATATTAAAAAAATTCTCTCTTCAAAAAAAAAAAAAAAAGCCAGCCTCAGCAATTAAGGTGCTAAGCAACTGTGTCTATTTTATTTAGACACAGAGTGAGACCCTATGTCTAAATAAAATACAAAAAATAGGGCTGGGGATGTGGCTTAGTGGGTAAATGCTCCTGAGTTAATCCCTAGTACTCCCACCCCCCAAAAAAAAGATACAAGAAAGAGAAATCTTAGCCTGGTGCCATGGCACATACCTATAATCTGAGAGACTTGGGAGGCTAAGGTAGGAGGATTTCAAGTACCATGCCATTGACAGCAACTTAGTGAGGCCCTGTCTTGGGGAGAAGAAAAAGCACGGGCAAAGCACCCATGGGTTTGAGCTCCAGTAGAGAGAGAGAGAGAGAGAGAACTTTCAACACTGTGATTCACTGTGATTATTTGCTTGGTAATATTCTGCTGAGAAATTAAATAATTTAAAGAGTTTTAGTCAATTGTGTACTTAAAGAAAGGGGTGGAGAAATGATGAATCATTACTATAGAATTCTAGTTTGTAAGCTTGAAATGATGTGGCTGTGATTTCAATTTGTGATAGACTAATCTTTTGTGTCAAGTTTTGCTTGAATTACTACTCTAGCACAATAGTACAAGGCAAAAGAAGGTTAAAATGCACCATATTTAAACTGCTAACCTTCATAATTACACAGCTTCTCTAACATTTATGAAACAAAGACACTTTCCTTTTCTGCAAACTCAGAAACTGCCAATGAACATCTTAAATTTTTTTTTCTTGAGATAGGGTTTTGCTATGATGCCAGGCTGGCCTCCAACTCCTAGGCTCAACTGATCCTCCCATCTCAGCTTCCTGAGTTCCTAGTCATACAGGCCCAAGCCACCTAGCTTGGTTGCCTCTGAATTTTTAAAGTTCAAAATATCCTGGTGACAAACACAAATCTACTTAAAGATACAACAGTAAATACATATTGTTCTTCTATACTGGCACCACTAATTACTAACAAATTGTAAATCTTCCTTTATTCATCATCTGAAAAAGAGATGATACCACTACTTTCCTTGGCAGACTATTCCAGCCCCTTACACATAGTTGAAAGTAAATAAATGTTCTTTTTCCTTTCTCATCTGCTACAATGCCACTTATATCCCTCATTTTCCCCCTCCCCACTCAAAGGGGACTGAACCGAGGCATATTTTACCCCTGAGCCATATCCCCAGTCCTTTTTATTTTTTTTATTTTGAGACAGGGTCTTGCTAAATTGCTGAGGCTGGCCTGGAACCCATAATCCTCCTGTCTCAGTCTCCCAAGTAGTTGGGATTACAGGTTTTTGACACCACGTACGGTTCATTCAAGGTGACTTGATGGATTCTTAACCGATATTTTATCATTCAACGTAGTTCTTCAGAATAAGACAACATGATAACATAGAGCTTGAAGTAAGAACACGAAAACAAACAATAGTAGGCTTAATTTTTCAAGTTAAGTGGATTCCTCCACCTCATTTTGCCCAATATACCAAATAGCTTAAATTCCTGACAAATGTAGTTCTTTCGACTAACGATACCGGAGTTTTAGCTGTTTCAAAACAAATTTCTATCTCGTAGGAAAAATGTTGAACACTTTGTAAATCTTTGGCTTTCTGAACCTTTTTCCCACTCAGCTGGGACTTGGCTATGGCAAAATGTTAACTACTGCCAGGAAGCAAGCTCGATTTGCCTCCTCGACAAACTGGAAAAGCTAAAAACAACACGCCGTGTCACAGCCTCCCCAGCTGTCAATGATCCCCGCTGCCTTCGCCTTACCAGGGGAGGAAACTGGGGCCCATGAAGGGGCTCGCCTGCTGTCATCTCGCGCTTTCCTGAAATAACAGCGCCTGACAGCAGCCAGGTCCTGCCCAGAGGGACACCAGAGTGGCCCCGAAGAGCACTGTCCGGACTCGTCGTCCCTCTAGACGCCCGATTCCGGGCGAAGAACTGGCGACTCTTCATCTCAGGGCCACCAGCAGGAGCCCAGGGTGGACCTAAGCTTTAAAGTGCGCCTTCTTTCTGGGTACACAGCTGCTGCCCGCCGGTCCGCAGGGGCTGCCACTCACCTGAGACTGGAATGAACGTAATTCCTTCCTCCGAGTCGGCCCTACACTTTCTGAGGCCGAATTGCAAAGCGCTATGGCTGCCGGACCCCAGCTCACGTCAGCTCCTTCCGGGCCAGAGGGTGCCTCACTAGCTAAGGTCCGCAGGGCCGCAGCACCGCACGCAATAAGTTCCGCCCTCTCAGGGTCTGGTAACCACTCCACACCTGCCACCCACTCTAGTAGCTTGAGCGTCCCTCCCCACACCAGCCCCAAGAGGATTTAGCGACCCACTGGCCTAGAAGAGAAAGGAATACTGATGCCTCACTTGAAAAAGTTATCCATCACATCGGTTTCTTAAAAGTACCCTTTTAGCCGGAGGCAGTGGCACATGCCAATAATTTCAGTGACTTGGGAGGCTGACACAGAAGGATTGCAAGTTTGAGGCCAGCCTCAGCAATTTAATGAGATTCTAAGCAACTTAGCGAGAGACTGTTCCCAAATTAAAAATAAAAAGGGTTGGGGATGTAGCTCAGTGGAAAAACATCCCTGCGTTCAATCCAAAAAAAAGGGGGGGGAGATAGGGATGTAACTCAGTGGTGAAGTGCCCCTGAGTTCAATCCTCAGCACCTAAATAAATATATAATAACATACAAATAGGAATAGATAAGGGAAAAAGCATTAGGCAAATATTATGGTTTAACTGTATAGTATTGGCTTAAAACATTGGGGTCATTGCTTACCAAACTGAAATCTTAAGGAGGTTTTGACCAGTATAAAACTATGGTGGGAATTTTGTAGTTGAAAATATGTGGGTTGCATTGCAATAACTCAAGATTGAAAGCTGAGATCAATTCAGTAATGAGATTGCTGCAATCATGCAAATGAGAGGTAACAAGGAACTGGGTTGGGTCAATAGGAATGGAGAAATAATCGTGTGAGAAACTAGAGGTTGAAATCTGCAAGAGTTCATGATTGATTGCATGTAGTTCAGCAGAGGTAAAAGCAAAGTCCAAAGTAGTTTTCTTTTTTTTTTTTTTCCTGAGGATTGAATTTAGCACACCCTGCACACTAGGCAAGTGATCTATCACTGAGTTACAACACCAACCCTTAAAGTGCAAAGTTTTAACTACACTTCTCTCCATCTCTACTACTACAATTTACTTAAGATCATCTTTGGTCACTTGTTATAGCAATAACTCCATTCTTTCCCCTCCAATCAATTGTCCTCACAGCATCTGAACAATTTTTCCTATAGTTCTGGTGATTGAACTCAGGGATGCTTAAGCACTGAGCCACATTCCTAGCCCTTTTTATTTTTATTTTTTATTTTGAGACAGGGTCTTGCTAAGTTTCTTAGGGCCTTGCTAAGTTGCTGAGGCTGGCTTTACACTTGAGATCCTCCTGCATCAGCCTCCTGAGTCCCTGAGATTACAGGTGTATGCTACCACACCCAGCAGGATGGATTTTTTTTCTTTAAGTGATTTATTTCAAAGCATGAATTATATCAAGTTGCTGCCATTTACAATTCTTGAATTGCTCTCTAAAGCCTCTGAACACTCTGCAAAGGCTTATAGGGCTCTCATTGCTCTGGCACCCTCTACTTGTCCAATCCTGTATCATACCACTCTGCTTTGCCTGCCACAGCAAGGTCATTCCTGCCTCTGGGCTTTTTCTCTCCACTTTTTCTCTCCATCTTCTCTCTTTGTCTAGCTAGCTTTCTCATAATTTGGATAACAGCTTAACTGTCATCTCCTATCCTAACATACTATCCAAACCAGGATCTTGCTTGCTAGTCTCTGTCTTAGCACTAGTTCCTCAATAAACTTACTAATTTAGAAATGTTAAAATATATATGTATTTATGTTTACATTTCATTAACCTCCACAGAAGGCAGAGAGCTTGTCTGTACTTTTCTCTTTTTACCTGGTGCCTGGTACAGTGCCTGACATATGGACGGCCTTCAGTAAAATTTTTAAATTAATTGAGTGAATTAGTGAATGAAGGAGCTGGTGAGGTCATTCATCAGATAGTGTCATGAAGAAAAAATAAGTTTATAGAGTTGGGCACAGTGGTGCAGGCCTGTGAACCCAGTGACTCAGGAGGTTAAAGCAAGAGGATTGCAAATTTGAGATCATCCTAGGCAATTTATGGAGAACCTGTTTCAAAATAAAAAAATAAAAGGGTTGGGGATGTAGTTCAGCAGTAAAGTGCCCTTGAGTTCAGTCCCTACTACTGCAAAAAATTAAGAATAAGTGCTGGGGTTGTGGCTCAGCGGTAGAGCGCTCGCCTAGCACGTGCGAGACCCTGGGTTCAATTCTCAGCACCACATAAAAATAAATAAGATAAAGATATTGTGTCCAACTAAAAAATAAATATTAAAAATAAATAAACAAATAAGCATATGGGAGATATAGAGGCAAAGTTGTTTCTCACACTTCTGATACTATGATGTCAAGATGTGTATAGAGTGGGTGATGATAGAGGGAGAGATTTGAAGTTAGAAAAGAAAAAAAAGAGGTGCTGCTATTTGCTAGTATATTTTCAGACTTTCCCAGAGAACATAGGACCTGACCAAGGGTTGACACCATTTTAGCTATAGTCATTAGGCCTGTATCAGATGGGACACAATGTATCACAGTAGCTAAGAACCTAAAAGAAAGAGAGAGAAACATAGGGCTGGGGATGTGGCTCAAGCGGTAACGCGCTAGCCTGGCATGCGTGCGGCCCGGATTCGATCCTCAGCACCACATACAAAAACAAAGATGTTGTGTCCGCCAAAAACTAAAAAAAAAAAAATTCTCTGTTTCTCTGTAAAAAAGATTTAAAAAAAATAGAGAGGAAACAGTTTAGAAACAAGTACTAGTGATATAGTTTAGGCCATAAGTGCAATAGGAACATATACTAGTGGATCAATGAAAACTGACAGAGTCAGAAGACTAAAAGAAATAACACCTTTTTTTTTTTAAATGCTGGGGATGGAACCTGGGGCCTCATATATGCTAGGTAAGCTCTCTACCACTGAGCTCTAGTCCCAGCCCAAGAAATGATGCTGTAAATGTATTCATTCAAAATGGTTTTTCTGGGGGTGAGGCTCAGTGGTAGAATGTTTGCCTAGCATGCCAGAGACCCTGGGTTCAGTCCCAGCACACCTCTCCAAAAAGGTCTACTGAATGCCTGTTAAGTGTGAGCCCCAAGTGCTAAAAATACATAGGTGAATAAAACATAGTCCCCAGTCTTCACTTTCTGACAGTCTATTTCTTAGATACACATAGTTACCTTAGAATTGATGTATAGACTTATATTTCATTGAAGAAAGATAAACACAGATATGTAACAAAGATGAGAAGAGCTAGGAAGCAACAGAAAAGGGTAAAAGGGAGAGAGTGAACAGGATAAGTAGGTTATTGGACAGAATGTTCAGAGATGACTTCTTTAATAAGGTGATATTTGTTGGCAAAGGTGTGAGAAAAAAGGTACACTCATACATTGCTGGTGGGACTGCAAATTGGTGCAACCACTATGGAAAGCAGTATGGAGATTCTTCAGAAAACTTGGAATGGACCGTTTGACCCAGCTATCCCACTCCTCAGTTTATACCCAAAGGACTTAAAATCAGCATACTACAATGATGCAGCCACATTAATGTTCATACCAGATCAATTCACAATAGCTAAACTACGGAACCAACCCAGATGTTCTTCAACAGATGAATGAATAAAGAAAGTGTGGTACATATATACAATGGAATATTACTCACCCTTAAAGAAGAATGAAATTATGGCATTTTCAGGTAAATGGATGGAGCTAGAGAATATTATACTAAGGTAAATAAGCCACTCCCCCGAAAACAAAGGCTAAATATTTTCTCTGCTAAGCGGATGCTGATCCATAGTGGTGGTAGGGTAGGGTAGGGAAGAATGAAGGAATTTTGGATTGTGTGGGGGTGGGGAAGCAGTGCTGTGGGGATGGGAAAAAAACCATAGAATGAGACAAACATTATTACCCTATACACATGTATGATTATCCTACTGGTGTGACTGTACTATGTACAGCCAGACTGTACTATGTTCAGCCAGAATGTGCTCCATTCATGTACAATGTGTCAAAATGCATTATACTGTTATGTATAATAAATTAGAACAATTTTTTAAAAGTTTTATTAAAGAAAGTAATATTTGAATAAATCTGGGAAGAGGTGAAATAATGAGCTCTCTGGATGTCTTGAGGAAGAGCTTCCAAGTAAGGAATAAAGGTAAAGATGGATTTATGCTTAGACAGATAAAATAGCATATGTATCTGGAATGGACTGAGTGAAAGGGAGTATGGGAGAAGATGAAGTCATAGAAGTAGCAAAGCTGGGTTCTCTAGGGCTTTGAAGGTTATGAATAGAATTTAGGTTTTACCCAGCATGAGAAAAGTCATGCTGAGTCAAGCATAATGGCTTATGCCTGTAATTTCAGTGGCTCAGAGGCTGAGGCAAGAGGATGGTATGTTCAAAACCAGCCTCAGCAACTTAGTGAGGCCCTACACAACTTAGAAGACCTGTCTCAAAATAAAAAATAAAAAGGGCTGGGGATGTGACTCAGTGGTTAAGCACCTCTGGATTCAATCCCTGGTACCAAAAGGAAAAAAAGAAAAGCCATGCTGAGGGATTGTTTTGGGGGGTACAGGGAGGAGTACTGGGGATTTAACTCAGTACCACTGAACTACACCTTTTTAAAATATTTATTTTTGAGAAAGGTCATCACTAAGTTGCTGAAGCTGGCCTTGAACTTGGAATCCTCCTGCCTCAGCATGCCAGGTCGCTATGATTACAGACATATGCCACTATGCCCAACTCATGCTGAGGAATTTTAATTTGATGGAGCAGGCAGGGGTAGGAGTTATAGATTTGAGGATACAGGAAAATAAAAGTGCGATAAGTATTTTAGGAACTCAATTCAACATGTAGGATGGATTGGAGACAGGAATCCAGAAAAATGATTCCAGTAGTTCAAGTATAAGATGAAAACTAACCATTATAGTAACAGTAAGAATAAGAAATACATAAACAGAAAAGTGTCCAAGAAAGTAATGGGATTTACCGGTTTGGTGTGTAATGAGTGTACTTGTGATGTAGCTTCAGAGCAGCTGACTTGAGATACAAACAGATGTCCTGTCAGGCAAATGAGGCCAGAGGAACTGATCCTAAAATGGCACAAGAGTTTCAGTGAAGGAAACTGTACAAATTAGTTTGGAACTGAAACTGCTTTTTAGTTTGAAATAAACAGAACAATTTTTAAAAATTTGTTTTTAGTTGTAGATAGACACAGTGCCTTTATTTATTTTTATGTGGTGCTGAGGATCAAACCCAGTGCCTCACACATGCTAGGCGAGCTCTCTACCACTGAGCTTCAACTCCAGCCCAACAGAACAATTTTTTAACAATTTATTTATGTATTTATTATTATGTGGTGCTGAGGATCGAACCCAGTGCCTCACATGTGCAAGGCAAGTGCCCTACCACTGAGCTACAGCCCCAGCCCCCAAACAGAACAATTTTTAAAAAATAATTAAAGAGCCAAAGATAAACCACCTGCCCCTTCCTGAAAAGTGAACCAAACTAGATCCTGTTTTTTAGTTGACAATGCAATAGTCATAGCAAGCAGGCAAAGGGGCCCTGTTATGCCTAAGTCCACTTCCTCATACCAGCAAAATTTTTGTTTGTTTTATTTGCAGTCCTGGGGATTGAACCCAGGGACTTGTGCATGCTAGGCAAACGATGTACCAATGAGCTACACCCCCCAGTCCTCTTTAAAACATTTTTTTGAGACAGGATCTTACTAAGTTGTTCAGGCTGGGCTCAAACTTTCAATCTTCCTGAGTAGTTGGGATTATTGTTGGGTTTTTTTTTTTTGTATCAGCAAATTTTATTATGAATGCTTGCATCCCATCCCTCTTTTGAGTATAAACTCAAATGTAATGAATATCCTTTGCAGTGCTTGCCTCCTTACTGAGATAGTTCCTTTGTGTGTGTGTGTGGGGGGGGTACTGGGGATTGAATCCAAGCCCTTTTTAATTTTTATTTTAAGACAGGGTCTCACTAAGTTGCACTGCCTATGCTGGCCTCAAATTGTGATTCTCCTACCTCAGCTTCCAGAGTTGCTGGGTGTTTATAATCTTTAAACTAGGATTGAAGACTCTGCAAATAATTTATTTGGTACCAGGGATCGAACCCAAGGGCACTTAACCACTGAGCCACATCCCTAGCCCTTTAAAAAAAAAAAAAAAAATATATATATATATATATATATATATATATATATATATATATTTTAGTTGTAGATGGACACAATGCTTTTACTTTATTTATGTGGTGCTGAGGATCGAACCCAGTGCCTCACATGTGCCAGCTGATTGCTCTACCACTGAACCACAACCCTAGCCCATCCGTAGCCCTTTTTATTCTTTATTTTGAGATAGGGTCTTACAAGTTTACTTAGAACTTTGTTAAATTGCTGAGGCTGGCCTGAAACTTGGGAACCTCTTCCCTCAGCTTCTTAAGCCACTGGGATTACAGGTGTGCACCAGCGCTGAAAATAATTTATAACAGACATATGAAAGGTTTCTGTTGTTCTGGAAAGAAGTAAAATTAAAAAAAATAGACTCTATGAATGACATTAATTAAGGGCAGGTGGAGTAGATATAGTTAATAGAAACAAAGAAATATCAGTAAGTTTAACAATTGGCAATAGCACTAATAATTTCCCGTGATATTTTAAGTGGTCATACTTTAAGAAGTCATATAAGATTTGATATTATGTGGGTTCCTAATACTTAATATGAAAATTATATTTTTGTATGTTGTTCCATGTTAATTCTTTAACTTATTTTACTACTATTCCTCAGTATTTTAAAGCTGACTACAATGAAAATGTTACAAACATTTGAAAGACTTAATCATAGTTTGGGGGAATAATAGCCACAGGGAAACTTAGAACAAATTTTAGAGAAAGTATTGTTTACTTATTTTTTTTAATGGAATTTTTTTTTTAAAGAGAGAGAGAGAGAGAATTTTAATATTTATTTTTTAGTTTTCGGCAGACATAACATCTTTGTTAGTATATGGTGCTGAGGATTGAACCCGGGCCGCACGCATGCCAGGCAAGCGCGCTACCACTTGAGCCACATCCCCAGCCCCAATATTGTTTACTTATTAGCAAACTACTTCTAATTATTTAACTGATTTAATCAATGAGGTTATTTTCTTTCAAAAATCTCTGAACACAAAGGTATTGCTTAAACAGAACAAAGTTCAAAGAAAGCCTGATTTAACCAAATCAAATCTCTGCCAAGGTCAACAAACTAAGATAAAAAATATATAAATATATATATATATAAAGAGAATTAAACTGATGTAAGTTTGAGACCAGGCCTATGTATTTCTCTCTTTGAGGAGTAACCCTGGTTTTCTGTCTGATTTCATGAAAGTCCAATTGTTTTCTGAGGTCTATTTATTCTTTAAAACATTAAGAAGCTTGTGATTTTTTTTTTTTTTTGGTTCTGGGAATTGAACCTAGGGGTGCTTAACTACTGAGCCACATCCCCAGCCCTTTTTTGTATTTCATTTAAAGACAAGGTCTCACTGAGTTGCTTAGGACCTCGATAAGTTGCTAAGACTGGCTTTGAACTTTGAATACTCCTGCCTCAGTCTCCCAAGCCACTGAGGTTACAGGCATGTGACACCATGCCCCGCTGTGTATTTTCTTAAGTGTTCTTGGATATGTGATTTGCGATTTTGTTACAGGAGTTCTAAGCTGAAAACAGTTTGGCCAAAAGCATTATCTTCATCCTAAAGAAGCCTTTACAGCTGGCTCATGGTGCATACCTGTAATCCCAGCAACTGGGGAAGCTGATGCAGGGGGATTGCAACTTGGAAGCCAGCCTCGGCAATTTAGTGAGACCCTGTCTCAAAATTAGAATAAGGTCTGGGATGTGGCTGGGTGGTAAAATGCTCCTGGGTTAAATGCCCAGTACCAAAAATAGAAAGAAAGGAAGAGAGCTTTATACCTGCACCTTGTAAAAGAGAAGTTTTAATTGTTGAATTCCATTCACAGCAAATACACTAAGGTGCTGAGATAAATGATAATTAAAACAGGGTTATGGTAAAAGTTCACATTTAGTTATTTATTCTTACTGCTTGTTCTTCAGGACTGACACAGTGGTTTAGATCTTGCTCTTTTTCCAAGTAATGTAACATTTCATAGTAGACATTTGATATTAAATGCATTAGGTAAGGTGTACTTCACCCTGAGGTTGTGAAACCTGTAGCATGACATTCTAATCAACAGTACAAATCTGTGAAGAAGGATTTTGTCATCGGCTTAGAGCAGGAAAAACCTAAGTAGAGTGAAGGTAGCTAAGATCAATACTGAAATCATTAATTATGTTGTCCAATCACCCAGTTTCTACTTCTCTTTGGCCTCAAAAGTCAAAGTCTACTCTCAAAAACAAAACAAAAACCCCTACTTTCCCAGTAGGGAAGTTTGAATTCTTCACCTTACAGCGGATCCACAAACTCTTAAAGAGGAAATAAAACTGCCATTTAATGTAATGTTGGAGGACGGGGTGTATGGCTCAATAGAGTGCTCTCCTAGCTTGCGTATGGCCTGGGGTTAGATTCTCAGAACTAATTAAAAAAAAAAAAGTGCTGTTAATGAACTTCAGTGTGACTATGCTATGGATAATCGAGTTTAAAAATTAAAAGTACCTCTGAATCTCCAGTAAAAAAGCAAAGGCTTCTTTACTTGATCACATTTTTAACATACATATTTAACTATCTCTTTAAAATAATTCCCTGGAATATGACAACAGAATGTGAAATAAAATAATGTGATGAACATTAACCGGTTCAGCTACTAGTGGTGACATAATCCCAACAGAGGATGATGACGTTTGTAGTCTCAAGTAATCCTCAAAGACCGGGGAGAGGAACTGTTTGTCCCACTCCACGAAAGCAGCCACTGAAGTCTGCATTCATTGCCCCCGGATCCCCGCTCAGCCCGCGAGGTGACGTCCAAGACGCGGGGATTTCCGCAGCTGTGACACACGCCACTTCCGGCCGGCAGTCGGAGTCAGTGACGTGGCAGGCTAGTCCGGGCACTGTCCACGGGGCCGGGACGACGGGACAGTCAGGTGGCCTCGGGGCAGCCCCACGGGGAGAGGTGAGCGCTGGAGAAGCCGCGAGCCCGGAGCCGGAAGTGCCACGTGTCCTGATTGCGCCTGCGCGGCCAGCGGCTGACAGGCACTTCCGGCCGGGGCCTCCCTCCTCTCCGGTTTAGGCTGCCGCTTCCCAGCCCAGCATTCGCGGCCCCACTGGCCCGACTTCTAAGCTTCAGTTCCCAGGCCAGGCCGTGGATGCCGGTGGGCTGGGGAGAGTGAAGCGCCATGCCTCGGGCTTGATGCTCCGCCCTCTCCTCCAGTCTTCAGTCCTAAGTCTTTGGCCCTCTCCCTCTGCTTTCAGCAGTCTCTCCGCTGGGCGCTGTTGTCGACTCAGACCAGTACCTTCCAACAAGGATAACTGCGGTCGTCATGTCCCAGCCGGGGATACCGGCCTCCGGCGGCGCCCCAACCGGCCTCCAGGCCCAGAACGGGGCCTCCTCGACCTCGGGGTCTCCCTACACCAACGGTGAGTGCTACACGGGGGCGAAGAGCAGGGCTCAGCGTGGGCCCAGGCTTTAACTCACCTTTGGATGCTGTTTACTCTTCAGGCGACCGTGGAAGAGAGGGTGACCTCTCGGCTGGGGTCTGGCGCGGGTGGTGGTGGGCGGCTGAGCCCCCGATACCGCGTCGTTTGTGCACTCTCAGGCGCGGGCTCGTTTTAGCGTTTTACACACACACACACACACACACACACACATTCAGTCAGCAAACAGTTAAAAAGCACCCGCTGTATGCAACGCCCTGGCAAACAAGGGTGAAAAAAAAAAAAAAAACAGATTCGGTCAATCCCTCAAAAAACGGTCCTAGTGGCTGTGCCTTCACCCTCCGCGCCACCTAGCTCCAGTCTCCAGGGGAGCAGAGTTTGGAGTCTGATTCGTCTCGAGCAGATTGGGGTCGTATTTATTCTGAGTTTGCGGACATGAATGAAAGAGTGACTTCTTGCGGAGACCCCTTTAGGACCTACTCATCTCTCCCAGGACTTTCCCAGAACTGTGCCTGGGCCACCTGTTCAGTTTTTCAGCCTTGAAAGAACCAAGTAGATTTGTTGTTTGATTTCCTAAGGCCTTTACATCACTTGGAAAATGGTTGGACCTCTGAGAGGCATGTACATGTGGCACTGTAATTTGTAATTTGTGTGAGAATGTCTTAACTCTTCTAGGATTCCTTGAATTGTCGTACGTGGTGATTTGCTAAACTTTTTTAATTGTTGTAATCGAGAAAGATTTTCTGCCAACAGTCTGCCTACTTACCAATTAACTGACACATCTTTGGTTTATGGAAATAAGACCAGCAGAATAATACTAAAGTGCTTAAATTGCACACTGGAATCTAAGATTACTGTGAAGTTGGAGAAAATAGCCAGTGACTAAAATGGCCAATTTACATTGTTTTTAGAGAAGTCTACTGTTTTCTTTACAAAGAAGGCTCTTTTTAGGACTTTAAAAATATCTATGGGTAGGCAGCTATGTGGGCAGAAGCTAGAATAGGGAATAGGCACTGAAAGTGCATTAACTTGAATCAGTTGTTCTTTCTCAAGTTTATAGTAACAGATTATGTAAAGTACATTCTATTCTATGGTATTTAGTAACATTTACCAGGAAGATGAAATCATTTTAAGACATTCACTTTAAGGTGAAAAATTAAACAAGATGTTACAGGGCCATGCATTTTTCATATAATTGCTAAATTGCAACCTTTTTTTAATTGTTAAATTTGTTGTAATTAGTTATACATGACAGTAGAATGCATTTATGCACTTTGTTACATCATATATAGTTGGGATATAAATTCTCATTTTTCTGAGTGTACATGTTGGAGAATCATATTGGTCATGTAGTCACATATATACATACAGTAATAATGTCTGTTTCATTCTACTATCTTCTAAATTGCAATCTTATATAACCTTTTTTTAAAAAAATATTTTTAGTTGTAGGTGGATACAATACGTTTATTTTGTTTATTTAGTTTTTTATGTGGTGCTAGGGATCAAACCTAGGGCCTCACACATACTAGGCAAGTGTTCTACTGCTGGGCTACAACCCAGCCCTTATATAAACTTTTGAAAGCAAATCTTGCAAATGTACTAAGCTTATATGTAAGTGTAGTTACTATAATTTTGAAATGCTAAAGGAATCTAACCACTGTGATATGCTGGTTTTGAATTGTTATCACTATGTTGATTTGATTCAGGTCAATGGGCATTTGTTGCACACCTTCTAAGGTCTGTCCTTGAAGATATAGAAGAGAATAAGAAAGCACTTCCTGTGCATAGGTTGCCCAGAGCCAGTTGGAAACTCAGCATTTTGACTAGTGATTGCATTTTAGGATGATAGTAGCTGAAAGAATGCAGCCAATTTGAGATGAGGAGTGAAATAACAGGAGTTTGCATATAAGCCTCTTTTAAGATATAATTTCAGTTTTTTTTTTTTTTTTGGGAGGGGAGCATTCTACCACTGAGGAACATCCCCAGCCTTTTTTTATTTTGAGATGAGCTAAGTTGCTAAGTTGCCCAGGCTGTCCTTGAATTTGAATTCTTTCTGCCTAGCCTCCCAGGTAGTTAGTATTACAAGTGTGCACAACTGCCCCCTTGCTTCATATTCTTTTTTTTTTTTTTTAACATTTTCGTTGTTGATGGACAAAATACCTTTATTATATTTATTTATTTTCATGTGGTGCTGAGGATTGAACCCAGGGCCTCATACATGCTAGGCAAGCACTCTACCGTTAAGTCACAACCCTAGCCTCCTTCATATTCTTATTTATAAGCTCCATTTCTAAAGTTTATTTTCAATAAATGGCCAATATCCTATGTTGGGTTTTTTTTGTTGTTGTTGTTGTTATTGTTGTTGTTGTTGATCCCAGTAGTAATACAGTGAGTAGGGATGTGGTGGTGAATTGAGCAGGGGGGTGGTGGAGGGGATATTCCTCTAGAAAGTTTTTAAAAAAAAAAAAAAAAGATTCAGTGGGCATAATGGTGCATATCTGTAATCCCAGCGACTCTGGAGGTTGAGGCAGGAGGATTGCAAGTTCCAGGCCAATCTCAGTAATTTAGTGAGGCCTTAAGCAACTTAGTGAGACCCTATTTCAAAAGATAAAAAGAGCTGAGGATGTAGCTCAGTGGTAAAGCATATGTGGGTTCAGTCTTCAGTACAAGAGAAAAAGAAAGAAATTAAACAAATAAAAAAAAAAGATTCAATGCTGGAATCTAGTTTTAGTTAATTCTTTCAAGGCAGTAATTGCTGCCTAAGTATTCTATTGAAAAACTCATGCTTTAAATTTAATGTAGCTTGCATAAATTTCATATTATAGTATAGTTAGATGTTCAGACATTTTTAGATTGTAATCAAAGGCCTATTAATAATGACCTTTTTCATTTTTTTTTTTTTTTTTCTTTTTTTTTTTTTATTGTTGGTTGTTCAAAACATTACATAGTTCTTGATATATCATCTTTCACACTTTGCTTCAAGTGGGTTATGAACTCCCATAATATTTATTTATTTTAGTTTTTGGCGGACACAACATCTTTGCTTGTATGTAGTACTAAGGATCGAACCCGGGCCGCACGCATGTCAGGCGAGCGCGATACTGCTTGAGCCACATCCCCAGCTTCATTTTTTAATAACTTGCTTTTATATTGTGTGGTGTTATTATGTTACAGAATTTGCATTATGACTTAAAAGTTGTTTAGACAAGTTTTTCAAAATCTTTGTGTGGATTGTATATAACATATTTCTTTTGCAAAAAAATTGATAGTGAGACTGTATAGTGCTTGAACTAGCTGATCTTTTTTTTTAACTAGCTGATCTTAATCTGATTAGCATGTAATAAGGCTAAAGTCAAGTAATTAATCCCATTGAACCTTACCTCCTTTATCAACTATTTGAATCAATGTGCCAAGACAGAAATTGCAGTTTTATTGCTTTCATTTGTTTATAATAATTATGTAATATTCACTTTTTTACTATAGAATTAAGGGTGAGAAGGATATTCTCCACCTTTCTCCTTTATTCCTAATATATCGTAGCTTTATAATGTTTGTTCCGCTTCCCTCTAGACCTTAAGCCCTGTGAAGAGAAGGATATATCTTTTTGCATATTATTCTTTCTCCAGCTCCCCACAGTGTGTAGCACATTTTAGGAATAGCCAGTTTTGTTGAACAAAAGTGTTAGAATTGGGTATTTTGTAAGTCATTTCACTAAATATGTATTGATTTGTTAATAGTAAAATTGGAGCTCACTTCCAAATTCTTTTTTTCTTCTGGCTCTTTTTTGCACAATATCATCAGTCAAAACAATAGAATTTGTGAGCCCAGCATCATGATGCACATATGTAATCCCAGCAACTCAGGAGGCTAAGGCCAGAAAATCCATCCTGGACAGCCTGTCTCAAAATGAAAGGGTGTGGGGATGTAGCTCAGTGGTAAAGTGTCCCTGGGTTCAATTCCCAGTACTAAAAAAAAAAAAAAAAAACCCACCAACCCATCCAGAGTTTTTTTTTGTCCCCCAGAGGGGGCATCAAGGGGCTAGGACTGTAGCTCAGTGGTGGAGCGCTTGCCTAGCATGTGTGAGGCGCTGGGTTTGATCCTCAGCACCACATATAAATAAATAAAATAAAGGTTAAAAAGAAAAAAAACAACACTATTTTAAAAAAATGCTATTCATCTGATTTAGGAGTAACAAAAATGTCAATTTTCAAATTTCCCTCTAATGTAAATCATGCTTATGATTGTGTATTAAATATAAGAAGTCTTTAATTATAAAACAAACATGATCTAAATAAAAGTGGCATGTGGTCTGTAACACTGATTATTGTGTTTTCAGTAGTAGAGGCTGTAACTCTGGATTCCCACAATACCTTTTGCAGATCTCTTTTAGAATTTACCAGTTGGGTGCAGTGGCACACACCTGTAATCCCAGCAGCTCAGGAGGCTGAGGCAAGAGGATCACAAGTTCAAAACCAGCCTCAGCAATTTAGCAAGGCCCTAAGCAACTTAGTGAGACCTTGTCTCAAAATAAAATATAAAAAAAGGGCTGGGGATGTGGCTCATTGGTTAAGCACCCCTGGTTCAATTCCTGGTACTGAAAAACAAACAAACAAAAAAACTACCATATATTGCATGTAGTAACCATTGTGCTTCTTGTTTTATCTCCGCTAATAGACTGAGAGTTTCTTAAAGATAGAAACAGTGCTGGTTGCAGGGGTCACAGTGGCCTGTAATCCCAGCTACTCTGGAGGCTGAAGTAGTAAGTTCAAAAGTTTAAAGCCAGCCTGGGCAACTTAGTGAGACTCAAAAAGGGCTGAGGATATAGCTCAGTGGTAGAGTGCTCCTGGGTTTTATGCCCAGTACCACAAAAAAATGGGTGGTGGGGGGGAGAGAAATAGTAACAAGAATTAGTACTTATTTTATTGTCACTTACTATGTGCCCAGGCACTATGCTTTGTGGTTCTGTTATAAGCATCATC